TCCTTTCTTTCTCTCTTCTTTTCTTTCCTTTCTTGCTTGTAATTTATATTGCATAATCCAGAATCTGGGACTTCCCTCCACACACACACACACACACAGCATGACTGCCAAATGATCTGCACTCACAACTGGGGCCTGGAACAAGAATGGCTCCAGGGCCAGCATGCAAATGCATGCAAAACAAACGAGATATGGAAGAAAGCAGCCCTGGCACAGGGAGGAGGACCCTGAGCAGGGTGGCAGTGGAGGGGCAGGGTCAGAGCAGCTCGGTTTGTCCCTCACAAACCCAGCCCTGGACAAGGGGCAGGGTCCGAGCAGCTCGGTTTGTCCATCTCAAACCCAGCCCTGGACAAGGGGCAGGGTCAGAGCAGCTCGGTTTGTCCCTCACAAACCCAGCCCTGGACAAGGGGCAGGGTCAGAGCAGCTCGGTTTGTCCCTCACAAACCCAGCCCTGGACAAGGGGCAGGGTCAGAGCAGCTCGGTTTGTCCCTCACAAACCCAGCCCTGGACACCATTCCTGAGCTGCACAGCAGCGTGCCAACGGCCCAGATGCTCCCTCTGGAAAAAATTGCTTCACAGTTTGGAATGGCTGCTCTTTGGTGGAGCTCTGGGGAGGAGGAGGGTGCTGGGTCACCCACCTGCCCGCTCGGAGCAGCTGCTCAGCCCTAGGTGCTGTAATTAGTGCCCTTATTAATGTGCCCCATGTGAGTGCTGAGTGCCACTGCAAACTGCCCTGGCCCTCCCCAGCTCCCACTTTCCAGTAGGTGCTGCTTTCCTTCTCCTCGGCAGGATGGAGTTAGGCTCTTCTCAGCAAGTTTTGCTGGAGTTGCTTTTTTGTTAGCCAAAGCTGTTATTATTCCACAAGCACTCTGCCTGTAGCACAGAGCCTGAGAGCTCTGGGGAAAGGAATGGGGTTTTTTAATTTATTTTAAATTGAGTTTTACTCTTTATTTTGGTTGCAGCCATCTCTCTTTGGGTGCAGTTTCCAGCACACTGGCAGAGACTTCTCCATTCAGTGTGTTGAACACTTGGTGCTCTTAATATGCAATATTTCCAGTGCTACCCATTGACAAGCTGTGCTTTATTAATGAATTAATCATGCTCTTGCACTGGAGATAGGCTGCCAGAAATCTGAGTGCCTCTTCCACCTCCAAGTGTATTCATATAAAACTCCGTGCCCAGAAATAAATCTGAATTAGAGTTTTACTCTTGAAAGGGAAAAAAAAAATTAGAAATTCCATTTGTGGTTTTGGGCTTTCTCCTCCCTAAACTGTATTGATCTTTAAAACTCAATGAGTAAATGGACTCCTGCTCATTAATGTGATCATCCCATAATGTTTGACATGCCATAGTGTTTGAACTCACACCAATATATTTGAAGTCACAGCACTCCAGAGGCTTGGCTGTTGTCACCTTTTTCACAAGGATCATTGAAACAGGAAATTATAAGGAGAAGACTAATAAGATAAACTTCTGTATTTCAATTTTGTTATTATATTTGTGTAGCCCTACCTGCCACAGGTGGCTCAGGCAGTGAACCTCTCTAAGTAATGTTTGCCTTTGGACAGTACCAAGCTACTCAAACCAGAGCATCCCTGTCAAAAGACAAAAGACCCCAAGGCGATTTCTCCTCATCTCAGAATCATTCCAGCATTCCGTGGCCATCAGGGTTATCAGCCCTTGCCTTGTTTCTCATTTTGCTTTTGCTTGGCTTTAGCTTTCTGCCTTTTAATGCTCTTTTCTGCAAGATTTAATCTCGGAGAAGGCTATTCCCCATGTAGCAACTTGTAGGCTATGACAAGGTTGTGGAAAAACTTCCCTTGGAAAAAGTAAGTAGATGGAGTTTCATTAGTCATTCACTACAAAGGATGTTTTCCAGACCTGAAATCATTCTTGTAGCTCTTTGCTGAACGCTTTCCAATTTTCCAACATCCCTTTTAAAATGTAGACACGAGGCCTGGAATCACTGCTGCAGTTAGGAGCTAAAGCTGAATACCAGGGCATTCATTTATTACACATCACCTTGTTCTCACATCTGCAAATCTCACAGCCACATGGGTGCTCATAACCTTTTGGAGAAGGGAAAAAATACAGCAAAAAATTTATTTTAATTTCATCAGTTTGAAAAATACAATTTAGCTTTCAGATGTATATGTTTAGACAAATCCCTTGCTATTTAAGCCATAGTAATATTCTTAAGTCCTTAAAGTTGTTATAGTACTAAAAGAGGCTTTGGTGAAGCCTTCATTTAAAAGCATTTTCTTGCCAACTCCTATGATTTTTTAATGCTGGTATTAGACTGTTTTGAAGAGTGTTCAGGTCTCAGCAATCTCAGCAATTAGATTAATATGAAAACTGTTTACAAAGAGAATTCTTTCCTTCCTTGAAAACACCTTTAGTGTGTGCTAGACTGAAAAAAAAATAAATCCTAGAGCAAACAAGTAAATAAAGGTAATTCTCATCTATATGATCATCATCATGGGACTTTGGCAACCATGTTGTGATTGCATAAGGGTGAATCGTGACAAATGAGTGAGAGCTTCAAGTGTTCCTCACTGCAACATGACAATGGAGTAAATCATGACAACTGAGTGGGAGCTTCAGGCGTTCCTCACTGCAACATCAGGCCCCAGCCTGGATGTGCTGTGTGCACAGAACTCCCAGTGATCTCAGCAAGGGCTGGGGGAGCTGTGGGAGTGAACAACAGGGTGGCAGATGGCCACATGTGTTACTTCCCCAGGTTAAATGTCAGCATGTAAATAGAACAATTCGGCGTTTTTTTCAGCAGGCTTCAAAATCAAAAGAAGGCAGCAGATAAAATGTTATCCTTTTTTAGCTGTAAACATTTGCTACTGCAGCTTGAAATGCGAGGTCTGTGCAGTTGGTTTTTGACAACTGTGAGGGGTGGTTTAGTTATGATTTCTCAAATATTTTGCTCATATCTGAGAAGAAAGAAAAGGCATTGCTAGTAAAACTGCAATTGTAGCAGCAGGAATAATTGCATTCTAAGAGATTACTTCTACTACTACTGCTGCTATGATTATTATTATTAATAACAATAATGATGATGATGATAATGATGATGATGATGATAATAATGATAATTGCAGCAGTGCAACTGTTTCAGGAGCAGTCCCTCTCCCTCAGGAATTCCGGCGGAGCAGCGGTGGCTGCTGCACTTCTCCACGTTGAGATGTTTGCCATGCTTTGATTGCAGGCCAGCTGTGATGGCAAATTGCTAATTTGCTATGGTAAATGTGACAAGTTCCTCTCAGCTCCCTGTGGCAGCCCTGCTTTAGGTGCACATTAAACATTAACTGCTGGCCTGGCACGAGGCAGGAGCGAGGAGCAAGGTGGAACAGCGATAGGATTTCTTCCTCCTGTACAAAATACCTGACTGTGGGGCTGCTTGTGTCACTGTGTGCAAACCTCAGGAGGCTGCTCCACTGGTTCATTCACTGAGCCAGCCCCATGTAATCCTAGACCTTGTCTTCTGTGTACCACAGGCTAGCTCAGTGTGTGCTGTTATCAGAATATTGCCTCACAAGGCCGCACCACAAATGAGGATTGCAGACACTAAGGAGGATTAATGAGTTGTTGCCAAGTTAAAAATTAAGTAGCAGTTACAAATGACCTGAACTGTGGTGAGTGCTCCACACTAGAATCATGGAATGGTTTGGTCATAAGGAACCTTAGAGATCACCTAAATCTGACACCTTCCACCAGACCTGGTTACTCAAAGCCTCATTCCCTCTGGCCTTGAACACTTCCAGGGATGGGGCACAGGTAAGCACACCTGTAAATAAGGTTTTTAAAAAGTCTGAGGGTAAACATGAAGGTACCTGTCAAGTATTATGTGTTGCATTTCTGTATTAGGAATGGAACCGAGCAGAGCTAGACTGGCAAGTGAAGCAGCTGCAGAAGTGCATTTCCCTGCTGAAATGCTCACCTTGGCCTAACTTTCCAGTTCAGATGATTCTTTGCTGTCATGCTGCAGTAGCTGATCAGCTGTTTCCACATAAAAGGAAAACCCTGCCCACTCTCTCCCTGGGCATCAAAGATGTCAGTGGAGCTAATGCCTGAATTAACAAATCCAGCTGTGCACACCCCTAGGGTCTGCCTTTACCCAAATCAGTGTGCTTTCAAGTGGAGGGCTCTGAAATGAGCAGGAATGGGTCTATGGTGTCAAAGAGCAGAGTGGCAGAACAGCTCCAGCCCAGGGAGGCTGGATTCAGCAGGTGACCTGTGTGCTTGCTTTGTAGCCAAATTAATCCTGCTGTGCACAGGGCTTTGGTAATGAATAATTGAAGGTAGAGCTGCTCCTCACTTGATCCTGCGAGCCTTGGCCTCTGATGCTGCCTGTCAAAGGCAGCTGGATGGTTTCTGAGGCTGCAGGGAAATGCTGGGAGCCAGCAGAGCCTTGCAGCAGTGTTTGCTGGGCACGGCACACAGAAAACCTGGGGCTTGTGTCAGCCTCTCCCTGGAGCCCAGTGCCCTGCTGAACCAGTGCCATATGGCCTGGCAGAGCCTTATCAGAGACACATCCTCTATTGCCCAGCTGTCTCCTCTGCCATGAGGATTTCATTGCTTTAAGACAAGAGAAAGTGAGCTGTGGCCTCTCTGCAGTGGGGTGGCTGGGCTGAATTTGAATCTGAAGGCAGGTTCACTTCGGAGGGGCTGGCTCTGGAGCCAGGCTCCTCTCAGGTGATCATTCCTCTGCTCCAGGGATTTCATCAGCCATCTGCCAGGCAAGAATGTCACCTGTAGCTCACAGAAATACTGGGACTTCTTTTATTGTCTAAAATTTGAGTAAATTGCTGATTTCCTAAGGTTTTTACTGCCACAGTTAGGCAGCTACTTCCCTGACAGACTTCTTCCACTGTCACTGTCACCACCATTAAGCTCCCCCCGTTATTTCTGAAAAGAATGGTGAGCTAGTGACAGCTTATGCTATTCACACTGTCAAATAAAAAATCAAATTTTCACCTTTTTCCCCACAGGCTGACTTAAACTGCAACATCCAAGATGATACAGGGGCGTTTTACGGAGTCACCAGTCAGTACGAGAGCTCGGAAAACATGACAATCACCTGCTCCACCAAAGTCTGCTCCTTTGGAAAGCAAGTAGTAGAAAAAGTAGAGGTGGGTGTTGAGATGGGATGTGTGCCTTTAGTCATTCCTTGCCTTTCCCATGCACAGACCTGTGGGATGTGTTCAGTCTCTGGTTGGTTTGCTGCACAGTGATGTTGCAGCTCAGGGCTAAGCCCCAGACCCACATCTGTCATGTACAAAACAGTTTTGGGGGGGAATTTTAGCCTAGAGCTGAAGGTTGAGCTTTTACAGCTGTCCTGGTCACTGTTTATGTCCTTCTTAAACTAAGTATGTTTTCTGACCATAACAAAAAAGGTTTTAATAATTTCTATTGTTCCAAGCTTAGAGAAAGCCAAAAATCCTCAGAAACCACCATGTGAGCTGGACAGCACAAGTCTGAGAGTCACAGCCTTACCCTCCCTCAACAGTCTAAGTCTGTCTGCTTTTCTTCCAGCTGTAGTTCTACATCTTTCTCTAGTTCATAAATTGCCTATTAAGTCATGCAATAATGTATCTATGTTTGTATGTTGTCCTACATCTTTCTCTGGTTCATAAATTGCCTATTAAGTCATGCAATAATATATTTATGTTTGTATGTTGTCCTGGTTCAGGGCAAATTTGGGAGAGAACCCCCCCAAGGGGCTCCTCTAGGAAAGCAGATTCATTTGGCCCCTCCTCCCAACTGGTGCAGGAAAAAATACCTCCTTGGAGAAAAGTGGGAGAAACCTGTTTATTAAACAATAAAACCTAAACAATATTAAACAATCAAACCCCTTGCTGCTCCAAAAGAGATGACAAACAAAACTTGTGCAGGGAAACCCAGGACATTTGTGCACACTTAAGTGCAAATATATTCGCTTATTTTTGCTGCTCCCTTTGCAGTCAGGTGCCTCAAAAATCCTATAAAATCTGGAATTATCACAGTTCTTAATTAATTTCTAATGAGTTTGGGACTTCATAATCCTCATCTATTCAGTTTGTTATTTTGCAGTTTAGAGAACAAGTAGTGATATTATAATTATTGATAATTAAGATGCCTTGCATTTTTAGCAAGGCATAGCACAGGTAAGGCAGGGAGTCAGCAAGCAGCGTGTGAGTGTGTCTGAGCCTCTTGTGTTTTTCCTGTCTACACAAAAAAGAAAAAAAAAAGAAAAACAGATTTACCATCACTTTTTTCCTGTCTCTGAATGATCACATTCTACATGGTTTTTCTGTTTTTTAGACTGAATATGCAAGGTTTGAGAATGGCCGGTTTGTGTACAGGATAAACCGCTCCCCCATGTGTGAATACATGATCAACTTCATACACAAGCTGAAGCATTTACCAGAGAAATACATGATGAACAGCGTCTTGGAAAACTTCACAATTTTATTGGTATGGACTGCCTGTTTTATTTTTCCACTTCTAAGATACTCTCAGGCTTTGTATGGCTTGCTCAGCTGGTAGTGTTGGGAACCAGTTTCCAAATCCCTTAGTCATTGGTGCTTACCAAAGCAACCGTCCCACTGACTTCAGAATAATTCTCCTGGAACTGGGCGCTAAAGACGCTCAGGATGAAAAGGCTCAGCTGGCTGTGAGTGTGAACAAACATCTTTGTTATTCTCCACAAATTTCAGCTTACTTCTGTTTTTTCCAGTCAAGTCTGGGGTTTGCAGAGAGCCTGAGGCAGTAACTTTGAACCTCTGCGTTCATCCGATGTATCCTTACGGGGCTGGGTTACAGTGCTGCAGGTGTTAGTGGCATTAATTAGTTCTTGGGCAGGGAAAACAGGCAGCAAACGCCCCACAGGTGACCTAAAGCACAGAGGATGGGCCACGTGGTGGCCTTTGAGCCAGTTTCACCCAGTGGCCCAGCCTGCTTTCCCCGTGGCTCTGTGGTGTCACCCCAGCCAAGCTCTCAGAGCCACGTGCCGCTGCCGCCAGGGGATTCGGGCAGGACCGAGGTGACACGGGTCACTCCTTGCTTCAGACCTGTGGCACTCGCATTCTCTGAGATATCCCTTCACCCAGGATTTTTCTCCTGGGAAGCTGAGGAGCCTCAGAGAAATGAAAACAATTCTTATCTCATTTGCTTCTCCTGTGTTTTGCTCATATGGAATGTGTTTGGAGATTGTTTCATTGGATTCTGCTGTGAGTTGTTTTCACTCTTTGGCCAATCAGGGCCAGGCTGTGTCACGACTCTGGAAGGAGTCAGGAGTTTTCATTATTATCTTTTTAGCCTTCTGTAAGTATCCTTTCTGTAGTCTTTAGTATAGTATAGTATATACTATACTACAGTATATACTATAGTATATACTATACTATAGTATATACTATAGTATTTATTATTTTATGATACTATACTATAGTATAGTATCATAAAATAATAAATTAGCCTTCTGAGAACATGGGATCAGATCCATCATTCCTGCCTGCCACGGGGCACCCTGCAAATACAGTACAGCCCTGCAGTTTTCAGGTGTGTGATGTTCTGTCTGCCTCTCCTTTCCCCACACAGGTGGTAACAAACAGGGATACACAAGAAACCCTGCTCTGCATGGCTTGTGTATTCGAGGTGTCGAACAGCGAACATGGAGCACAGCATCACATCTACAGGCTTGTAAAGGACTGAGCAGTTATTTATATATACACTTCATTTCACTTCTTTATCAAAACACAGACTGTAAACCTCAACACTAAGTGGCAGTGCCTCTGGCCCAACTTTCACCCACATTTTTCTAAATCCTGTTTTAGTGAAGTCATTTTTAATGTGTTCATATATAATTGTAGCTGTGAAATTCTGGTACAGTTGTAAAAATTATTTCTAAAACTAAGTGTTCTTCAAATTTGTAAACCACAGTTCTTTGGGAAGACTGTATTTAAGAACCTAATGCCTCTGTCTGTGGAGGCCTATTTTTAATTCTGATAGAAAAATGTATGACAGAGCATTTGCCATGGGGAAAAACTGACAGCATTTATAAGAATTTATTTTGGGTTTTTTTCCAACATGAGATACTTGTTTTACAATGCAAGTGAAATTGAAACGAATCTTTAGCTATAACTGTAAATGAGTACACAAAGTTAATAATCTTTATAGAATTATCTTTGTAACTAATTAGGGTGGAAGATATGGACGAATGTAATTCACTAAATTATTTTTTAAAATGAAACATTTTTCTGTTTGAAACCAAATGAAAAATATAGCCTTAAGAAATGCCTGATAGAAACAGACAGGTCCTAAAATTAGGCAAATTTTGTATTTTTTTCTCAACGCTAAAACTAATCTTCTAATCCATTAAACTTTCAAACAGGTATTGCAGAGAAAGAAAACATCACCCCTTACCCTTAACATATCTAGTGTATTTTAAAAGAGTATAAAGTTGTATTGTACTAATATGAAAATTTGATTATTTAATGAAAAAGATGGCTCATTTTGCAATAAGTAGGTAAATACTGAAGATTTAGACTTGCATTATATGTAGTCTTGTGTGTGCGGTTATATTTTATATGGACAACTATGTTTTCTAATAAGGTGAGCAAAAAACTTGCAACTCTGAAATCAAGAGATGAATGGAAACAGCTGACATTGCAACAGCATCGAGTCACTCAAAACAGAGAGCAAAACACTGATGTGTTTGAAAGAAGAGTGTGTACACCTCTGAAAGGATCAGCAGCTTTAATATCTGTGAGACGCTAGAGAATCACAACCAGCATCAGGCAAAGAAGGTTGGAAAGTGGAGAATTTAATTTTTTTTCTCCTTTTCCTCTTAATCATGGTGCTCTTACACCTCTCCCAGCTGTGTCTCCAGGTCTGGCAAAGACCTAATCTGAAACAAACACGCACCTACCACGTGGGGTCTGCTGTCCTCTTGGAAAGCGTTCATCCAGGTGGTAGCGTTCATCCTTCTGACAAATTCAGGGAAGCCTCCAGGAAGTGAAGCACAGCTGGGGATATTTAACACTGTAAGGCCTGTGAGCATTGTCTGGGGTGTGCACAGGTGAGAGCAGCAGCCCCAGCCCTCCCGCTCAGGACAGGGCGTGTTGCTCAGCTCCTCTCCTCCTGCTGCCCCTCGCTGCCCAGGCAGGAGTGGTTTGAGCAGGTGCTGGGCCAGCAGAGGCTTCTCAGGCAGAACATCTGTCTGAGCGGCTGAGGGCTGCCTGGCCAAGCACAAGCCACCTTAGGGAGCAGTGATGAGTTATCAGCAAAGAGGGTTCTCGGGGGAGTTTTCTGCAGTCCTGACTCAAAGGTCAGGCTTAGCAGGCCCCTCCTCCCTACCCCTTGGGATTTGTTCCTGTAACCAGCACAGTTCTCATGCACAGTCTAAAAGCATCAAATTCACTCCCAGGCCCAGCAAACAAGCAACTCTATTCCTTTTCTTTAAATTATATATTCCTGCATAGTCCATTCTGTTAGAATTGCCCACTGCTGGAACGTCTGGACTAGACTGGAGCCTAGGTGAGGTCAGAGCAGGACCGTCCCTAAGGCTGGGGAGCTCTGGGGCTCCAACATCACCCGGGGGAAGGGAGACTGCTTCAACCCCTCAGCCTGGTCTGGCTGCATGAGGTGCACGCTTTGGATGGTTGCTGTGATGCCTAGCTGTCACCTGCTTGTGGATATTAGGGCTGATGATCTTTCAGTTGATACTCTGTGCAGTGAACAGAGGAACGTGTCCATGGCAAGGTCTCTTTTAACGCTCATTTTTAACACTAACAATCACATCAGGAAAAGCACTGCATTGTAACAGCCTAACGGTAGCCCTTTATTCTAAGCACTTGGTGTTACAAGTCAAAAACTACTTTTTGGTTTTTGTTCTAAAGTTGTCTTTTATTTAGGGTTTGAATTGTGGGTTTGGTGATTTTTTATTTTTTTTTTAATAACAAGCAAACTCTTTAAGGCATATAAAGTATGTAAGTCAATTTGCAAATCCAGGTACAGTTTGTTTTTTTTTTTCTTTTTAGTAGGATCTGGCACACTACATATGCCATAACTATAGGGTATAAACAGTCACAATGTTTATTGGTGTTCACATATGTAATGTTAGGGAAACTACTTCCATTGTCTTTTCTTTGCAATTCTGTAAATGATCCATACCCTGTATATGTTAATTCTTAAAAGCCTTAATCCTTCAACTGTTGAGTGTGGGGTGTGTAGTCCAACAGGCTGCCTGTAAACTGTGAGCTCTTTTGTAAGCTGGAAGTACTTATCTTGTTACTGTTACTTTTTTGTAGGAACCTTTTAATTGAGAGCTGCCAAAGCATTACAATATGCAGTGCCTTAGCATTATATTAGAAGTAACTTTTAGCCTCTTCACATTAAATTTTATACATTGTTTTCTTAATTGGTTCCATTTTTAAAATATCCGTATTTTTCCCTGCAGAAATGCTCTTTGACTGCTTGGTGTGAACCAGCTGTCTGTACAAGTCAGTCCCATTGCAGTGAGATGCCTATACCAAAAGGAAAGGTTACAGATCCCTGGTTCTCCGTGAAAAGTGAATTGTATTAATGAATGCTGCCTTTTTAAATTTCATGACCAAATAATTAATTGTGACTCTTCTGCACTCTAGCATGAAAGTGCCTTTGGTTTGAAATTCCAGCTTAGAAAAGTGCTGCCATAATAATGACAATTTGTAGAGAGACCAAAAATATTTAGTTATCACCGTAATGCCTTTGGTTTATTGGAATAAGTTCAATCTACAGGCCTCCATTCACAAAAGAGCACCATTCATAGCAAAGGGATTTTGCTAATGATCAGCCTGCTGAAGAAAAATCTACTGTTTGCCATTTCTGACAGCATTGCAAACCAGCAACTGAGTCGTCTGTGATATAAAAATGAAAATATTCCCATTTATATTCTCTTCATCCAGTCACGCATCTGCATAATGAGAGATCCATATCCTACAGAATTCCAGTGGACAAGCATGGCTTCGTTGACCTCCTCTAACAATATTTTGGTGTCTGTGGAGATGCTTTGCTCAGACAGCAGATTTTGTTTACAAAGCTGTGCGTGCTGGAGGTCAGGTGCACAGAACAAGAGGAGCAGGAGAGCTGAGCAAGCGAGGGTGGATGCGATCGTGTGGGTTCAAGCGTTGGAATGTTGAGGGTGAGCATTGTGCATGAAGGTGCTGCTGGGGAAACTCTGGCCAGCACGACTCAAACACAGGGTTGTTTTGTTTTGTTTTCCTCCCAGTTGATGTCTTGGGGGGAAAAGAAAAATTAGCTTCTCTTAATAATGTGTCTGTTTTTGATACCTTCTGTGAACGGGGGCCATATCTCCACCACAACTGAAATCAATGGGAAGAGGAGCAACATTTTAGAAAGAACAAATATCAGCAAAACCAAAAGCTGTCAGAGGGATTATATAGTTGTGAATACATTGTTAACTTGATTTTTAAAGTATTTGATGAAAACTAAGATTAACTTTTTATATAGAGAAATATTGTGACACTGTGTGGTAAATATTGTGATAATTCAAATTCCCTTTCTCTGAAATATTATTTTTGTTATTCCTTCAAGGTCTAAATCTCACTTACCTCTATAAGACAAACAATCCTGTTGAACTCAATGAGACTGAGGTAGGGCAAAGAACAGAGACAAGCAGAACATAGTTTTTCAGTCATTGCCAAACGTTTTGGCTGTACTCGTCAATGTTTGCGACAAGCTACACCTCTGTCTCATTCAAGCAAACATAATGGTACCATTAGGGGCTGTTAAAAATTGCTACTAACAAATGTAGTTTTACTTACTTGAATTCCCAACTGATTTTGTTTAGGTACTGCACCACTATTTTGAAGGAATCGCAGATCCAATGCCCGTTTCTCTCTTCCCCTCTCCACCACAGCTGCAGCTCAGCGTGGCAGTGGCTTGTCCCCTGGGGCCCCCACGGGATGGGCTCCTGGGCATAATGAAGGGTGTACATTACTGTTGAATGTAAGGAACCGGCCAGTCCAAGGCAGATAGGACGTTCCATGTGCTAACCCATAGCTATTTATTTTCCCGCTGCGAGTCCCGGGGCGCGCCTGCAGCCCGAAGCAGCAGCCCTGGGGGTTTCCTGGAGGCCTCAGTCAGCGCCACTGAGAGCCCTGGGGCTGTCCCCCCTTTCCTTTCCCGTGAGGATACGTGTGCCCGGGCACAGGCGGGCGTGAGGAGCGGAGCCCGGCTTGCTCCTTTGCTCAGGATGATCTCCTTTCCCCTCTTATCTTTCGTAACCAGATGTTTAGCCCCCCTTCCCCCCAAGAAAGATTGAGGCTGGATGAGTCAAAGTACAAAAAAACACTCTGGACATCTTCATCTTTTAACTTTTCAGGTCATTCTTGCTGAGGTCATGTAATTAGTTTTAGTGTGTAAATTAAATCTTAAATGCACTCAGTTGACTAAAAGGAGATGGATCCCTGTTACCTCCTTACAGAATATGTGTTTTTGTTTTTGTTTTGTTTTGTTTTATGGGCCTCTGATTCAGGCTCATGACTGCAGACAAAAAATACAATATGTGCCTGAAAAAAAAAAAAAGACAAAAGAATTTTATAACATTGAAAACCTGAATAGCCTTTAATTCTTCAGTACATTTTATGTAAAACAGGTTGGGTTTTTGTTTTGTTTTGGGGTTTTTTTTGCCATGTGCATTTGTTCACATTTGTAAATGACTTAATGGAATTCTCACTTTATGTTTATTTGTGTAATGTGTATAAAATGGGTTTGTGACTTAAGCATATTCATATATGGTCAGTGGTTACTTTAATATTGTACTGCTGCTGGTAACTTTTGATGTAGAACTTGCCTTTTGATGATAAAGTACCTCTAGGTTAGACAGTGAGGGAAGGCTCTTGGAAAAAACTGAATGTTCTCCAATGTTTTCTTAACATATTTGCAGAAGCTTTCAAAAGGAGTTTCAGTCAAACCTCTTGGCAGTACAGTATTCTTGTATTTGTTATTGTCTGTGTGTAGGTACTGGTACCTTTTTTTTTTTTTGTTTAAAATGTTTTAAGTGTTGGCTTTAAAGTGAATTTATCTTTAGTATGATAGTAATATGAAAATTATAGGTTTTGTGTGCAGAGAATTTTTTTATAAAGTGCTTTGTAAAAAAAAAAAAAATGTATTCTAGCTTTCGCGGTACATATGTGTGATAACTTTAATATCCATGACAGTTAAGTGCAATTATTTCATCACTCTAAAAATGCTATTTTTGTGTCGGTTACTGCAGGTGTTTTCATGTCTTTGCAAAGTGACACATTTTGATGCCTTCTTGATAAAGTGGTAGAATTTTTGTAGCTTTCTAGAAACTTTGTATTCATACAGTATCAATTGAAAATAAAGAAAATGAAAGTGTTTTGTGCATTTGTCGTAATCTCTTACCTCAGTCTCTTCTTAATGTTGGGTGTAGCTTTCAGAACCTTTTTCCAAAATAGCACAAGGCCAGGCTTGCAGAGATGCCTGTGCTCCTTTCTCAAGGAGTGAGGGAGGCCCAGCAGGATCTGCAGAGGCCTGGAGGGCTGGCACTCGAGGCTGGCACATCTGGAAGAACACATCTGGTGTTCCATCATCCTAATCCTTGCCTGTGTGTCTTCCTAAAAAAAAGGTGGTGGATTTTTGTGAAACACCCTTTAAACCACACCATGACAATGGGAAAAGCCACCCATCTCTCTGAATTGCAGAAGCAGGAATGACCTGTTCAAAATGTGACAGAATAAATGGTGCAAAGACATCATTAACTGAGTGATGAGCATGGGAGTCAGCTGAGGTTGTTTATTCCAGGACACTGAGCTCTGGGGGAACTGAGGTCCTAAAAATGTGCCATGTTTTCAAGAGACTCACTTCTTAAACCACCTGCCCCTCAGCTGACAGCTGTACCTGGTATGATGGGAAGGTGGAACAGGATCAATTTGCCTCTGGCATTTACAAAGTGAAACCACCTAGCTAGGGGAAAAAAAAAAATAAAAGGGATATCCTGGATCAAATGAAAACAATGGGAAAAAGACCAGGACTTGGTAGAGGGAAAAAAAGTACATCTGGCTCATCTTCTGCTTCCATGGGGGAGCAGAATTTATTTTTTGAATGAACATATGCCCCTCCCACACTCCCCAATTCTCCTTTGGGTGGCAGATGTTCCACTGCTCTTTTTAAAATGTCAGCAGAGCACCCCCTGTGTGCAAGATGAATGGGGTGAGAACAAGGCTCAGATATGGTCTGTTTTGACCCTGTTTTCTCTTCTTTGTTCCCATTACGTATGTGGCTTCAGCCCTTTGAAGTGTGCTGGCTGTTTCAGAAGCAACCTGCTTCTTAATTAAGGTTCTGCTTCTTAATTAATTTAGGTTGAGCCCGTAAATCTTGCACCTTTGGGAAGACGCCACGCGCATTTCGGGCTGGGTGTCCCCAGCAGTGTCCCCATCAGTTTACTGAAGGGCTGGTGTCCTTGGGAGCCACAGCCCCTCCCTGGCAGAGCGTGGGGCTGGGCTGGTTTGCTTGGGCAGGGAACAAGGAGGCCAGGCCAGTCACCCTGTGCCTTTTTGTGGAGCACAGAATCCATGTGTGCTCCGTGGACTTTCCTGTGGGTTTTAGTTTTTCTTGGAGATCCAGCCTGTTTGACCCCGCGGATCCAGGAGGCATTTCATGCTGACAGACCCTAAAAGGAGGGCCCAGAGCTCAGCAATGTGTTAGCAGATGTCTGCAGTCCCCACTCCCAGCTCGGGCTGTTCATCCCAGCCCTGACCTTTTGCAGCCCCACTATTGTTGTGGGGGGCCCCTTGAGCAGGAGCAGCTGAACAATCTGTTACCCCGAGCAGAGGCAGCTCCAAAATGCTCATAAATAATTCCCTGCCTTGTAGGGAGGTGTGGCACTGAACTGGTTAATGGCTGTGAGTTATTGTCCTGTGATTGCTGACGTTCCCTCAGAGCTGGAGCTCTGCTGGGGACACTGGAAGGTGGGAAAGGCAGGAAAAGGAAAAGGAAAATTGTACAAAACCAGAGTGCAAGTGACTGTGAGAAAATGAATAGCAGGGCATTGCTTTTCAAAGAAAATGCAAAGCTGAAGGCAGCACAAAATAGGAGGAAAAGGATAATTTAGAGACTACCACTGTCCATCAGAAGAAGGCAGGAGAACCAGAGTGAAATAAAAGCTACAACAAAACAGACAAATATTCACCTAGGTAAAAATAATTTGCTGCTTTTTGGTTTGGTTTGGTTTGGTTTTTTTCCCCCCCCTGTGTTACTTTTTATTATCAGCCTTTTCTAATTTGGGACATGTCCTCTTTAAGCTTAAGGGAAAGGGGTGCTGGAGACTCCATTTGTGTGTGCTTCACTGGAGAGATTCAATAAAGCCCAAAAAGCTCTGCAAGGTACCCTGTAGCCTCCCTGACAGATAAAGAGCTGTCAGCTCCATTTTGGGGAGAGAGAAAGAGAAAAAGGAGCAATGGCCAGAAGAGTATCTGAAACAAAGACACGAGTGCAAGTGAGTGCTCCCAATTTACCCATCACTGGGGATTTCTCAAGCCACCAGAAGTGTGGGTTTGGGTGCATGCACAGAGCCCATTACAGGTTTAGGTTGATGAATTTCAAAAATACTGATTTCCATGCCCCTCACTATCCTAGACCTGAGCATAAAAGTGCAACTTTGATGTTATCAAATGGGAGCAGGAAGCCAAAAAACAAGTGTTTTTTTTCATAAATCTGCCTTTAAACCTCTTTATCAGCTTTAAAAGGTGTCCCCACACGCAGGTTTGGCATCATGGCTGTCTCCCAGCTCTGTTAAAGGCAGTGTCCCACTATGGATGGTGGTTGGGGCCATCCAAGAAAAATGTGCAGGAGCTGTGATTGATATGAGTCCCTTTTGATTGCTCTTGTACAGGTCAGTGAGAGGATTAGTCCTTGCCTTGCAGTGCCCCTCAGTGCAGAGCAGACAGGCTCTGGCAGCAGCTTCAAACCAGAGCTCGGAGCTGCATGAGCAGCTGACTGTGCAGGGGCCTGACCAACTGCAAACTGATTCCTTTTCCTGCCCCAAGCAGCTAAATTTATTAGCCACATTTAAAGGTACTTCTCCATTTTTTTTTTTATGTTGGCAGAGACCAGAGAATAAGGTGGGTTTTTTTCCTAGGCTTCTAAAAATTCCTTTCAGCTTAAGTCATATATTCTCTGCAGGGTTATCAGAGATTTAATTTTTTTTCCAGGATACTTGTCTTTTCTCATCCTTTCACCTGTGATGTTGGACTTTCTAGTGTGCAAATGTTCCTACTTGGCAAAATGGACGAGAACAGCATCCAGGTTATAACCACTTCCTTTTTGACACAGCTTTATGTTGACTGGAGGAGATGAGGGGAGGAATGGGATCTTCTTATTGTTTGGCCCTTCCATTAGATTTAACATGAACCCACACTAAAAACTCAGACACTGCACGCACATCACAGCATTCCACAGCACAGAGAACCTGATGGCTTCTTTGTGAAATATCTGTATTGGTTTTACTATGATTACATGATATTTTTGATTAATATAAAAAGGTTTAAGCTAAGCTTTATTGCCAGAACACCACGGTGGGTGGAAACTTCTCCCAGCAGTGACTCGGGACACAGAGCAGCAGTCTCAGCAGGGCTCACTCTGCCTATCTCCCGCAGTGATCTCCTGCTGGAGGGAGGAGGTGCTGAGCAATATTTGGGAGGTGCCCCAGGCTCCCAGGGACAGGCTCTGGCTAAGGGGGGAACTTGTGGGGCAGGAATGATCACCAAACTTCCTCCAAACCCTTGTTTTCCTGGCCTGCTTTCACACATTTCCCAGATGACAAAGGACACAGTGTCCTGTGAGCAGGAATTACATGAGAGGGGTGTCTTGGGACCTTAGACAGCCCCACCTCATTCTTGCAGAATCTTCCTCTGCGGCTGGGCCCTTCTCTGCGAGGCCGTTCCTTGAGCACCAGGCTCCACAGTTCCTCTGCACTGCAGCGCTTGCAGAGCACTCAGAGCTGTGCCGTCAGCTCAGCATTTCTTTATCCCATGCAAACAAAACAACTTCCCATGAAGAACATCAGAGCTGGAAATGGTCCAAAGGTGACAGGAACTCCCGAGAGAGCACGGCTAAGGGCTCAGGAGGAGCCACACAGGTGGCCACAAGGCTCCCCATGTGTCCTGCTCTGGGCCAGTTTGGTTTCTCAGCTGGGGAGGAGGTGGAAGGAGAGCCCTCTACCCCTGCAACCTGCAGCACCCAGGGAATAAGTACAAGCACAATGGAGGAAATTGGCTT